CATTTATAATTTTTTAAGTTAGTTTGAACTAACATATATGATTGGATTTTCCATGCACGGAAGCCAGCGTGCTCAGAACTCACATAAAATTAAAAACAAAAACACATTAAAAAAGATGTAGACTCGTCGGGAGCTCTTTACTAAGTTAGGCATGTATTGAACGGAGCACATAAACGTGATTACTTAATAAACTTTGAAAAACGTGGTTCTTATGAATCACACATCCAACAATGGCACCTACCCTGTTTCCCCGAAAATAAGACCTACCCCGAAAGAAAGACCTAGCACTATTTCTCAAGATTCCGGTAATATAAGACCTACCCCGAAAATAAGACCTAGTTTGGTGGTAGCATGTGAGGGGGAACATGAAGAGCAGGAGAGATGGTATCAGCCTACAAGGACATACTGTATCAGGGGATGACAGGGGACTCCCTCCGGCCGGCGCAGTGACAGGGAACAATCCAGTACCATACTTCACTGCTTAATGTAATGGTACTGTACTGTAATGTGTACCGGTAAATGGTACCGTACTTTACCGCGCTGTCCACTGTCTGATGTTCGCACTGCTGGTACAGCTGTCCGGGACTGTGACAGGCGGAGTGATACCAGATAACTTTCGATTGTTGTACATGAATAACTTTAGATTGTTGTACATTTTGTTGCACATTAAAAAAAAAGACATCCCCTGAAAATAAGACCTAGTGTGTTTTTGTGGGACAGTGTCTTATTTTCGGGGAAACACGGTATGTGCGTTCAAAAGTTAGGTGGCTTTCCTTTTCCTTTTATGTGTGTGGCTTTATATCAAATTAATTGAACCAAAGCCTCCTGCACTTAACTAGTTGAAATGGTAACAATAGCACTTACGATTCAACTTAGGAACAACTGCATGGTCTGATTACCTACAGCATCTTGATGTGTGGGTGGCTGTGTGGGTAGCCCCGCCTCCATGGTCTATGGCCTGTGTTGGCTATGTAGAAATTCAGCCTGTTAATATTTCTGGTGACTTTATGTAAATAAAGTGTAATAATGATAAGTATAATTAAAATAGGTTTCACTGTGCAATGAACATTACAATGCATGGCTTTTTCCAGCACAGGTTTTATGTACTTGTGTTTGGAATGTCCTAGACCAGGGGAAGGCAACCTTGGCTCTCCAGCTGTGCTGAAACTACAAATCCTATCATGCTTCTGCCTCTGGGAATCATGCCTGGGGCTTGCAATGCCTTATGGGATTTGTAGTTTCAGCACAGCTGGAGAGCCAAGGTTGCCTACCCCTGTCCTAGACTGAGGTATGATTCAACACTAATTTCATGCAGAAACAATCTATTTCATTAGTAATGGTGGCAAACAGGTTGGGTTTTTTTTTCTTAGCCTTGAGACTCATAAAAGAACACCTAACAACATACTGGCATATCACATCAGCCTGTCTTATTTAAAATACAAATTGTATTTGAAAAAAAATGCTTTATATTGTAGGAAATGAGTACCAGCATAACTGTCCCACAATTAATTTAAATGACCTAGGCTTTATAGGGCAAATTGTATGGTGTTAGAACTAAAGTATAGAATAAGAAGGCAGCTAAGAATTTCTTTTTATAAGATTGCACACACATAAATGTCGCAGTAGCATTAAGATCTGCAATAAGTGTCCCTTTTATGCTCACCTCACCATGACTAGCCATTTCTTTCAATGAAGACTTTTCACAAAATAGCTGTAATCACTCCTGCTTTTCTGCTTTTTTTTTTTCTTGAAATGTCATTAACTAGGCCTAATAGCCACCACCATTTAGTGAATGTCCCCCATAATACATTTCCAGGTAGCTCAGCAATTCTTGAAGACTTTCTGAGATCTAATAAGTACCGAAAGCACTTCAGAACACTTACTCTAACTAAGTAAAGGATTTCTCTATACAAAATTGTTTTCCCGCTTGAAGACAAAGTCTCCACGTATAACACTACTGTGGCAACATAAAAAAAGTATTATTTTTTTTTTTCCGTTTTTGTGTTAGGAGTTTCTTCATGATGATTGCAAAAAATTGTAGCCTTTACAGCAGTCTGTAATGAGAGAAATGTATTCAAAGTAGGGGTGTAATTAGGGTGAGGTGGCAGGGGCAGTTGCTTAAGGAGCAGAGTCGGAGCTATTAGAACATGAAAAGAAATGAAATATCTAAAAGTGCCTTTGAGGTTTGTGTATGAGGCTGCAAAGTAAAGCTGCAAACTATTATTATCAAAACTGCCATTGTTCTGATAAACCTAGCATACCATGAGCTAAGAGGTATGAGACCGCGTGATGGATAATATAGCTAACTCAGTGCCTAAGGTGAGAATAGTTCATTGTCTTGTAATGTTGTGATCAGCTTTTTAATATTTTAGGGTTATTTTGCCAAATCTTTAATTAAACAAATACTGGAAATGATATATGTTCAGATAAACATGTTGTTCCTTTATAAAAGCAAGAGCAAGAGCTGCCTTTAACAACTGGACATCAGCTCCACTGGGCATCTATAGCTACAGATACAGTAAGCTCTTTTTTAAACCATATATGCTGATAAATGTCACTCTACAGGGCAAAAAAAAAACCCTTCTTTTGGTTAGTATTAATATTTGACAGTTATTTATGAAACAGCTGGGAAACAAAATATGATCAGATTGTGACCACATGAGTCTATGTACACAGTCATCATACAACAATATAATTTAGGTGAGCACGAACATTTGCATCATTTTACAAAAAGCCAGGTCATTTACACTTCACAATTCACAATAACCAACTTAAAGGACTTTCACCCATTTCAACATTTCAAAAAATATTTATCTTCTGGTTCCCCCCCTTCCTCTTATGGAGAGGTGCAGATACATCTGCATGTGCAGATGTGCCACAGGTCTTTGGCAGATTTCAAGACCTGTGCACAAATGCTGCGTGTTTCTGGATGTTCCCAGAAACCAGAGGCATAGATGCACACATGTGGGATGTTTAAAGGTGACCACACAAGAGGGGGGTACTGGGAAGCAAATACTGCTGGTCTGAAGTTCCTCTTCAATTACCCATTTACACCCGTGCAAAATGAAGCACTGATCTAAAGACTGTCACATGAGACTGCAAAAAATTCAAGTATTTTCTACGGGGCCCATTCATATTTGTGCAATGCGCGTCTGTGCGACAAAGAAAATGGTGCAGGTGCTTCTTTTGGTGTGACATATTGCATTTTTAGCCTTGTAGACTTACATAAGAGCACATGAAAAGCCCATGTAACATGCATTTATGGCATTTTACTGCATGGCAACAAGGGAAGCCCCCTAGCAACCTGCACTTTTATTTCACCTTCAGTGAACAAAACAGAAACTCAAGCAATTAAAATGCTTAAGAGGGGATTTCCCTCACATTTAAAATGCATGCTCTCACTTCCTGGACAGGAAGTAAAGGAAAATCTCCATAATGAGACACAAAAAATCTAACAGCAGTTTTAACCTTCCCCTACTCTCTCCAACATGAAAAAAAAAAGGTTTTGATATATTTTAATCGTTTGTGCATACAGGGGCAGACATACCATTTGTGTAGACTGTTCAGAAGAGCCCTCCAGGATTTAGGGATGTGTTAGGCAGGTACTGGGAATCTCTCCCATTTTCACTTTGACCTGGGCACTGCTCAGTTCTAGGACAAGTAAGCTGCAAAAGGTATTCATGATGCCCCAACTATTCTGCTGATTTGCAATATCCAAGTGGAGTACTTCACTTAATGGTAGACTGACAGTGGGACATGTAAAATGCTTCTCCTCGTTCTCTTGATGCCATTTTGGCAAGAATTAAAGGGGAGAGTCCGGGGTTTGTGTTCCACTCTTTCCTATCAATGCACACCCTCTTACATTAGTGAGTGCCTCTTGGGCTTTTTCTCAGCCACCCCAAGTACTCTGGTCAGTCTGTCCTAATAACACCATAAAAGATAACACAAGTTGGTAAATACTTCACTGCATAATTAGCTTCTGTAAGATCACACAGTGGTTGTAGCTTAAAGGGAAAGATCAGAATTTTGGCAGAGCCACTGATTGGCTGATCCTCCCTTTTATCAGAGATAACATGATGATTGTTAGGGTTTTGAGCATGTGGTTTCCTGCCATTGGATTCTGGAGTAGTGATTCAGAACTTCTTTAAATATTTAAGAGAGCAGAATGGGTAGGGGAGCATGAGGTCATGAGGTATGTTTACTGTTTGCCTAAAGTATGCGGGCAAGAATATTTGACTTTTCTCTGACTTTCCAGATCTGCACACTGTCTTGGGTCAGTGACTCTGTTAGTAATAAAGCTAGTGGGTCAACATAACAGAGAGACATCTAGCCTTTTTTAGAAGGAGGTCTGCAATGGCAGGTGACAATAATATGCACCTATATTCTAAAGTTAAGAACTCATTGGCTATAAGTATACACTGTGTAATGTAGTGCTCAAACATTTGGCACACTTATCCCGGGTTTTGTTTCTGCCAGGGACACTATCTGCTTGAAATTTGAATGTTACCTGGATGTTTTGCGAGCTTCCTATTCCTTTTTTTCTCTCATAAACCCCAATGTTTGAGTATGATAGTTTGGGAAGTTTAGATTATATTTTTTATATAAGAACTGTAGTTTTCAGTTTGATTGGTCTGTACTCACTTTGATGTAACAACACCATACATGGTGTAGACAAAATGATAATGTAAAAAATAAAACCATTCTTGAGTAAAGAAAAAGAGAAGATCCTTAAGATAACCATGTCACTGCAATATGAAGATAAAGCTGTGTGTTTATCTTTAATAACTACATTTTGAAACTGCATCCGGTCTCGGTAATTTTTGTTTTATAATTAGTGTGAAAGCAAATTGAAGAACATTTCATACTCTACTCTATCTCTTTCATATAGAGACACTTTTATTTTATATTCACAATGATTATATTGTAAGATTTAGAAGTGTGCTTTACTTTACAGTCTTTTATTGAGTTCAGATGGTAATTAAATTATCTTTTCCCTTCAGAAGAGTTTCCTGGGGTGCACCACTTTCAGAGTGAAGGATCTGGTCAAAACAAAGGAACAGCCCCTGTCTCTTAATCTCAAGTAGGTTTTTGCATTCTTATTTGTCTGTGTGTGGTTCAAAATATGATTTTTATTGTCTCGCATATCAATGTATTTCTATAGCATAGATTTTTGGCATTTTAACTGGTAAATCTGGGCTTACGCACCATTGTTTGTTGCTAACCAGAAAATTTCAGGGGCCTACAGCAGCTAGTCAACAATTACTTTGGCTTTGTTTAGCGCACAATAAAAATAATAAGGCAATCTGAGGATTTATAGCGTATAATTACTGTAGAAATAATGGAAACATTTAAACATGTGTGTGTTGGAGGGAAATCAACCTTTGTGGGGTAATTTCTGCACAAATAAGATTAGCTGTGTAATCAGTTGATTGTGTAAGGGCTGCCTTCCTGAGTTGTGTTTTCTTGGTATGCAGCAGAATGTCATGCAAATCACTTGGACCTAAAATAAGAATTTACTAACGGCAAATATGCTTTCTATTTTTTAAGGAAATGTTCCCTAAGCTTATTTAATGTGATGAAAATTCACTTTGCAAAGAATACTCGATCAGGAGCAAGGAAAAAAAACAAAAAAAAACTGTACGTTATTGGATGATGAAAATCAGCAGAGCTTCACCTCATTTACTAAACTAAGGGGAAATTCCCTTACAAAGTGAACAGCCTGTTTGCCTTTATCAACCCCGTGACTCTGCTGATAATTGTTTTGGGCAATTTATATATTACCAAGACAAAGCAGGATAGATGTATGACCTTTTGTAATACCTTTCAAGAAAAACAGTTTATTGTAAATGCCCGTGTTTATTCAGAGATACACATGTGACTTTTGATCATACTACTGGTCTCGCAGTTGCAATATAATTTTATCCTTAATAGCCACGGCCTTGTTTAGCACAATAGCAGCTCTTTGAGTAGCCAGGTTAGAGGGGGCAGCACAAAGCTTCAACATATAAATATGCTGTTTCCTTTTTAACCTACAGTTATTTCAGTGTCTGTCCATACCAGCACTTACCAACCAGTAGCTTGTAGCTCCTTTTTTCTATCACTTGCATTAGCTGTTCAGTCGGTGCTCCATGCCTCAAAGTGTACAAAATAGTTTTGGATAGAGTAGGGTTTAGAGTAGGTTTAAAACGGCTGCCCTTTCCCTTCACTGTTTGTTCTGAACGCTTGACAGAAAGTCATGGTGAAAAGGGTACCCATTGCAAGATTTTCCCTCTTTTTCTGTTCCATTGACAACTCAACATTTCAGATTTACCTTCACATTTATTCCTGGTGACATGGGTGATCAGGACAATTAAAGAGGGCTAATCTCCCTAATAGGGACACCAGACAATGGTTCGAATTCCATATCACTCTATACAAAGCTAACAAAAAAATGTGCTTTTAGTTATATTTTAAAATGTATGCAAAGCCAAAACTTATTCTTGAGTTTTGGGTTTTGGATAGAGTGTTAAAGGGTTACAACCACTGTCAGAATTTTTGCTCTCTATGAAGCCACTAGGGAGATTTATGCTCTCTATTAGAGATGTGCACTTACTGAATCACGAAATTGCTTTGATTTGGCGGTTCGTCCGAATCCGAAAAAACAAATTATTATATATCCGAATATCTGACAAATATATTTGGGCATATAATATTTCATTTTTTTGTATGAGCACCACCATCTTGCTGCGTCCTAGATAGCGGTGCCCATACTTGCTTATGACATTGCCCCACGCCGGCGTCACGTGCCCTGCCTCAAAAAAAGGGAGGCATACATGCGCAGAATGCGCCAGTGGCCAATATGCCCACTGCACATTCTGTTTTTTTTTTAAATGTGCACTTTGGGATTTGGAGGTTTGTTGCCTCCGAATCTCAAACAACATAATTATTTGTTTCATCAAATGAAATGAATGAAAAGGTTTTTCCATTTTCATTTATTTTGTCCTAAACTAATTTTTATGCTGTGTATATGTCTACTCTCTATTTGTCCTGGTGATTCCTTCTAACTTCCTTCTGTGTCTGCTTGACAAAAAATAGGACAATAGAAAACCTAAGGGGTTTATCCATTTGCTATTTTCTCCAAAAAAATAAAGTTTGGGCTTTTGATTTACTTACGGGGGTTAATCACTATGGAGCAGCCGTAGCTTCGGCTGATCCTTCGGCCGCTGGAGCCCTTCGGTTCAGTTGAACCTAAGGGCTGCTGTACGGGCTATTCCTAATAGCCCGTACAGCAGCCGAAGGCATATGCTTCGGCTCGACTGAAGCCGAAGTGACAGTCAAAGCCGACCACTCTCCATGGAAATGACAGGTGGGTGGAGCCAGCCATGATCTCAAAGCTTGCCCCGCCCAGTTGTAATAACAGATCAGCGTCCCCAAATGACCTGGGGACGCTGATCTGTCATTAAACCACAACAACTGGGCGGAGCCACCCATGTTGTCATGGCTGGCTCTACCCAGTTGTTATTCATTGGCCGGGACCTGCTACAAGACTCTGGCAGGTGCTGGCCAATAGTAAACAGTTGGGCGGAGCTAGCCCAACTGTTTCTTTAAAATTGGGTTATTCACTCGGCTGCCTTCGGCAGCTTTGTAAATAACCCTGTATAGTTATAATGTTCAGAACCAATATAAAAAGTGGTATACGCTAAGTTTTCGGACCTCATGTATCTTATTGGCATTTGCAGTAGCTTAATGTAGCTGGTAAGCTGGCAAATGTTGTGGATCTATGTGAACCCAAATGGTCATAAACTGCATTTATCTGAAAATGGTTTTGGTAAAACAAAGTCAAAGAAGTGGCCAGTAGAAATAGCTTGGTAATTGCAATACAATTATGTTTACACTGAAATACTATTTATCTACAAAGGGTGTTGTGTGTGTTTGCAAGAAATAAAGAGAAATATGAAACAGAATCCAGTTTTCCTGTATGCAGGCTACACTAATACTGTATGACAGTTCCGGATTTTGTACTGTAAGTGTTGTGTGGACCACATACTGGTACTAGCAATTCTGGTGTGTAATTCTATTAAAGCCCAATTGAACCCTTAACTTATTTTTCCATATACATTTGTTTTATTTAAGGTGAAAGGCAATAACATGACAATTGATTGTAGTACAAAGTCATAGCACTTCAATATACAGAATATCCTTGTTGGTACTAGTCGGAACGTGGAAATTGAAATTCTCAGCCGCAGAGGATTTACATGCACACGGGGGTGGGGTGCAAGTGTTGTCAGTGAACCCTTAATTTATATTACTCTAATGAAGTCAGGCTGGCTAATAAATAACATATCTGCATATATTTTCCTTTTATTGTGATGTAATATTGCCTCAGCCCTGGAGCTGTGCCAGCAGCATGCAACTTTCTCGTGATCTTAAACTGCCCAACATGCTACCTACACACACTCCTTGAGTGTGCCTAGATTGATTTTTTTAAAGAAGACAACGTCTACTGTAAAATAAGAAAGTGTTTTTTAAAAATTAAAAAGTAAACGATAAACTTTAAAGCATTTCCCCTAACCTCCATGAGCACATGATGAAACTTCAAAAAACACCTTATTTTTTCATTCACCGTTGACTAGAGCTGGGAAGGGTTGGAAAAAAACATTATTTTTTTTCCAAAGCCATTTTTTTTTTATTTAAAAAAAAATAATTTTTTTAAATACAAAAAAGGATTGTGGAATATGTTCTTTAAAAATGATAACTAATATATCTTTGACATGATATTCAAACTATATAACATTATAATAATGAATATGCTGCGCTTCAACTAAAACAATAAATAGATAAACAAATCTCTATAATTATAATTATTATTATAGAGATTTGTTTATCTATTTATTGTTTTAGTTGAAGCGCAGCACATTTATTATTATAATTTGATACATTTAGAGGGTAACACTCAAAACCACTTTGTTGGTATGATAGTAGATGATAGTTTCTGTCCTCTCAGGCCTTAAATGACATGTAAGAGGGTGCATTTATCTGGCAAATTAGTTTATCTTTATAACCTTTAAATGATTCCTAATAATGTTCTACACCATCACAGTCTAATGTTTACCTGGTCAGTAAATAGTTTTTTCTCCTCCACCAACATCTACAGTTTGGAAACATTTCCACGGTGCAACTTCTGCTGAGAGCAAAGCTGCAATTTGCAGATATTGTGAGAAGGAATATTCTTTTCCGAATGCTACAAGGATGACAAAACACATCCTTGCATGCCACAGGTGCCCTAAAGACATTAAACCTACCAATGTCCATATCCTACTGGCACAAATAATGTCAGTTAATTAAATTTTTATTTGGCTTCTCATGGCTTCAAAATTCCTGGAAATTTTACATCTCTACCTTTGACTCAAAATGATGAATTTTATTTTGCTGAAATCACCAAGTTTTTACACAAAAATTTAGGTGAAGGAAAAAGTCTAAATTTCCATGATTTCTAGTAATTAGATTGAAGAGTTTTAAAATGGAATCTCTCCTCTGTGGTACAGGCTGTAACTTTAATTTTGCGACATGATGTAAGGGACGTACCCTGGTGGGGTCTGGTGTCGCTTTTCGTTGCGGGCCTGTGCGGGCGCGCCAGGTACCTTCTTCCTCTGGACGCTGACTTTCATTGGTGGCCTCTGGTGGCGGTGTCCGTCGTCGTCCTGCGCAGGCGCGTTGCGTAGCTGCGTCACCCCTCTCTCCAGCGGGATCCACGTCCTGCGCAGGTGCACCACGTAGCTCCGCCCCCTCCAGAGCGAGAGCTCAGCTTAAAGCCGCTGCTCTGCTCGTTAGTTGATCGGCATCCCACTGTTGATGTAGCAGGACGCTGATCAACTCAGCCTCCCACTCGCTCTTCCGGACCCTGGCGAGCCAAAACGGAGCACGGGATTACAGCACCAACGAACCGCAAGTACCCTGGGCTATAGATAGCTATAGCACCAGGTCTCCTCTCTGCCTTCATAGGATCGCTGTCTTGCCTGTACAACTGTGCTGCGTCCCTCCTGGACATCTTAACAGATGCAATAACTCCTGTGTAGTTGAAAAATGCTATAGAGACTTCTT